TCTCTCACTGTGTCTCTCTCTGTCAAATAAATAAATAAAATCTTTAAAAAAATAAAATAAAATAAATTAGATATTCATTTCATCTTAGACCAGAGGCTGGCAAACTTTGGTTCACAAGTCAGATTTGCAGGTAGCCTGTTTTTTATACGGCCTGCAAGCGAAGAATGCTTTTTATATTTTAAAAGCGTTGTTTGAAACAACAAACAAACAATAAAGAATATGCCACAAAGACTGAATATGAAAACCTAAAATATTTATTATCTGGTGCTTTACATAAACATTTTGCCAACCCCTGCTCTCGATACTAGAAAAGTGCTGTCCAATACAACTTTCTGCCGTGACAGAAATGTTCTGTACTTGGGCTGATATGCAGCTGCAGTCCAGTATGGTAGCCACCAGCCACATACGGCTACTGAGCACTTGAACTGTGATGAGTCTACTTTATTCTCTAATGTGTCTGCTTAGTATCTAACAGGGAACCTAGCGCAGTAATATCTAAATGAATGAACAACTACTATACACAATGTTAGAAAGGAAACACTGTACTAAAATGAAACAAAATACCTACTTTCAAACTGCTGTTCTCAGGCTAGTGAGAGGAGGTGTTCAAGTATACAACAGGAAAGGGTGTTTTGAGCAGGGCAGGCTAGAATCTTGCTCAGGGTAAAGCCAATGACAGTGCCTGGATATAAGGCATATACAGAGTGTGCGTGGGAGACGGAGAACAAGACGCAAGCTGGACTTGAAAATAAGGGGTCTCAGACACCATGGCCCCCTCTGACACTTCGTCCTCAGATTCAGCCTGTGCTCAAGCTGCCCTCACCTGGGTGCCACGCTGTGACGCACAAGTGCCACATGTCCATCTTACCCTATTTTTTCTGTAATTACCATAGAGGGGGTGGTGTCAGAGCACAATGTTAGCACTATTCTCTAGGATTCATGTGTTTACAGTCACTTTGGCTGTGCCAGAGAAGACAGAAGAAAACAAATGGGGATTGTAACTGACCTTTTCCAAAGCTGCCTCTGTCAACATTCACGAAGAGTGACTCTATGAAGCATGTGACTAGTGGTATCACCTTATCTTTCTCAGGAGGTCTGTCCAAGAAGCCGGGAGACAAAGGGAAAAGTTCAAACCAGCATTCAGTGGCTTTTTCAGGGAATAGCAAGGAAGGGCTAATAAACGCTTAAATCAGCATGCTAAGTATCTCTTTCACAATTAACCAGTTTATTTTCTCACCTAATATGAGGTAACACGACAAGGGCTGCCCAAGAATGTGAAAGGTAAGTAGCATCTTTATTTGGGGGTAACTGAATTATAGATAAGAGGTGGTCCAATACTGGGGTCTGTTCTTTTCCTCCCTTGGATCTAGTCTTCTTCTGCCTTAAATAGGATCTGAAGGAAGAGAAGAAAAACAAATGTTTAAAAGAGGAGAGAACATAATCCCTCTTGACCTCTGAAGTTTAAAATAAAACTGGTTCCTTTCCACACGTGGTAGATTTGTGGGGAGGAGGGAACTGGTGGTGGTGGTTGAATATAAATAACAAAAAAATGTGAGTCGTTTACTGATTTTCAGTAAGAGGCTTTTTCGATGCCTTTGGTTCTTTTTTCTATTTTCTATTTTAATTTGCTTCATAACTTAAAGCAAGTCTCTTCTAGTTTTATGCATTATTTCTGAATTTTCTGATTCATTCAGATTCCTTCTTTTCTGTCCATTCTGCTGATGGACATATTTTTAAAAACTGGAGAGGTAATTTATTGTAATGAACGGACTTCCTTCCTCTATTCCCCCTTTCCTTTTTGACACAAATTTTACTACTTTACAAACATAGAATGATGTTGCACATAGTGGTGAATTTGACAAATGTCACTAAAGTGATTATGATTTAGAACTGCCTCTGCTTCTTTAATCTCATAAATGTTGACTCGATGACATTTTCTGACATGACATTTGGCTTTAGGTATCTGTTACTTTGGCACTTTTCTTGTTTGCCTCTTTTCCCTTTTGCCAATGAACTACACCTCAGTTCTACTTGAAAGACAGAAATCTAATTGAAAGACAAGTCATAGAAACAGTAAGTAAAATGATTTGTTTTAATAATTTATCCCCCATGTCCAGTTTGGTTAACTTGTTACATAATAGAAGTGGAAGATCAGGTTTTTAGTCCTGTGTCCCTATCATCATGAAAATTAACTAAAAAGTTCTATTCTTTTTTGTTTCATACTTATCAAGATACTGAATGTTTGGAAATTATAACAGATAGTTTAGTTAATTTCACTGACAATTTCTGAAAGACACTATACCTTGATATATAGTCTTTCTAGTAGTAAAGACTCAACAATCTGCAAAAATCTTACAAGAAAACACTGAGATGCTTTAAAAAAAAAAAAAAGGCAGGTCATTGCTTGCCTGCTTCATCACACCTGCCAATGAGCTCCTCCAATAAAATCCACACTCCTTATCTAACCTTACAAGGCCCCATGTGATCTGATGCTGGCCTGCCTCTCATGTCCTCTCATTCCACCTTCTTCCTTGCTCCCTGCTCTGTACACACACAGGCTTTCTTTTGGTTCCTCAAACATACTGAACTTATTCCTATCCCAGAGCCTTTATACTAAGTCTTCCCTCCACATGGAAAGCTTTTCAACTAGATCTTTGCAAAGCTGGATGCTTCCCATCATTACAATCAGCCCAAAGGTCCCTTCCCCGGAGAGGAGTCACACTGCCTCTCCATTCATTCTCCCTCTCAACACCCTAGTTTTATTTTTCTTTTTATCATTAAAATGATCTTGTTTATTTGTTATCTGTCTCACATCCCTCCACTCCAAGAATGTCATCTCCCCAAAAAGAAGGAACCTTGTTTTTATTATTATATACCAATGCCTAGAACAGTGCCTGATACAATTAGCATTTGTCAACTGATAGAATAAATGTATCTTCTAAAGAACCTTTTCACATCTATTATCTCTTTCTAGTCTCACAACAAATCTGTGAGACAAGTGGATGGAGTATTACTAAGAATATTCAGACAAAGGTGACCATTCACATATATCCCATCTCTGTGGGAGCTGCAGAGGGATGTTTTCTCAGGGAAAGAGCACAGAAGGTGTGGACCTACCTTAAGCTAATATGCCTCAATTTATTTATTTATTCTTATCAGGACATATCTCAAGGAGGATTTGAGATGCCTGAGATGGCCTCACACAAGCCAACAAAGCAGCTTCTTTCCCACTGCTTAGAACCTACAGTTTTAGTTACATACAAGGAATATACCTGTTGGGAGTTGGTTTGGTGTTGCAATCAAGAGGAAAGTTCCAAGGGAATAATTCTACAGGAGTTACTAATTATTCATTCCTCAGGAATCAGAGCTCAGTAAACTGGAAAACCAACAGATTCTATTAGCATGTTTTGATAGAAAAAGCTACTTTTAAGGTCAGCAGAAGAGCAACATGTGAAGAAGACGAGCTCCTCCAGAATCTCAAGCTGATCCAGAATCAAAAACTAACTCTGCTGTGTGACTGTGGGGACAATGACACCCATCTCAAGGGATGCTGTGATGCTTCAAAGCGGAGTACTCAGCAAAAACTCAAGGAATGTCCATCTATTCCTACTGCCAAAGCAAACCCCAAATGCAGCAAGTCTAACAAATCCCAGAGAAATAAGAAACTTAAGTATAAACACATAGGAATGATAAAGGAACTGGTTTCCTAATCAATAATTTCTAAAAACACATCCACAACTACTGGAAAAATGATAATCAGAATCCTCACATATTTCCATAAACCCTGTTTTCAATTCTAAAGAGTATTAATTATTTTTATTTTCTTTTAAGATTTTATTTATTTATTTGACAGAGAGATAGAAAGAGAGCATAGGCAGAGTGGCAGGCAGAAGGAGAGGGAGAAGCTATCTCCCACTGAATAGGAAGCCCGAAGCAGGGCTCCATCCTTGGACCCTGAGATCATGACCTGAGCTGGAGGCAGACACTTAACTGACTGAGCCACCCAGGCGCCCCAGGGTATGCATTATTTTTAATGAAATTAAGAAAGTAATCCATGGCTCTCTTAACAATTCAAACAATGCAAAGGTATATAATCTAAAAGTTAACAGTCACTTCTTTCTTCCCCTTCCCATCCTCCTGACATAAAGTTAAAATTTTGTGTATCCTTAGGGAAATGTCAACTCTCCCCAAATTGATCTATAGATTAAAGGCAATTCCAAACAAAATCCCACCATGGTTTTTTTGTAGACATAGACAAGATTCTTCTAAAATTTATATAGAACAGCAAAGGACCAGGAATAGCTGAAACAATCCAAAAAGGAACAATAGAATGGGAGAAATTTTTTTTCAAGATTTCAAGACTTATTTTTAGACAGTCTCTATTAGAGGAGGATAGATACATGGATCGATGGAAGAGAATAGAGAACCCAGAAATAGAACTACACATATATGCCCAACTGATTTGACAAAGGTACAGAAGCAGTTCAATGAGGAAGAATAGCCTTTTCAACAAATGTCGCCAGAACAGTGGGCATCCACAGGCAAAAAAAGAAACTTGACCTAAACCTCACACCTTATATAAAAATTAACTCAAAATGGACCATGGACTTAAATGTAAAACAAAACTATGACACTTTTAGAGAAGTAGGAGAAAATATCTAGGACCTACAGCTAGGCAAAGAGTTCTTAGACTTGACATCAAAAGCATTATCCATAAAAGAAAAGTTGGTCAATTGAACCTTATCAAAATCTAAAACAGTGCTCTGTGAAAAATCTTAAGTGAACAAAGACAAGCTATCAACTAAATGAATATATCTGCAGACCATTTATCTGACAAAAAATACCTTTGTCTAGAATAGATAACGTGTTCTCAAAACTCAACAGTAAAGAAACAATCTAGTTACAAAATGGGCCAAGGAAACAAATAGATATTTCACTAAAGAGGATATACAAATAGCAAATAAACCCAGGAAAAGATGGTCAACACCATTAGCCACTAAGGAGATGCAATTTAAAACCACAATGAGATCTCACTACATCCTACTAGATTTGACAAAAAATAAAAATCAGTGATGATACCAAATGCTGGAGAGGATGCGGAGAAACTTGGTCATTCAGACTGCTGGTGGGGATATTAAATGGCACAACTACTCTGGAAAACTGCTGGCAGTTTCTCATCAAACGAGAGATGTACTTAGGATATAACTCAACAATTCCACTTTCGGGCATTTATCTCAGAGCAACAAAAAGTTATGTACATGAATGTTCGTAACAGCTTTATTCATCATACTAGCTCAAAACTAGAAGTGACCTAAACATCTTTCAACGAGTGAATCATTACATGGACGACACTACATCCATGCCATGGGCTGCGACTCCACAACAAGCACATGAAAAGATGTTCAACAAAGGGATGGACTCTTGACACACACAACCTGGATGGGTCTCAAGGGAACTGCATGACTGAAAGCTGATCTCAAAAGGTGTATTCTCTAATTCCATTTATATAATATTCTTAAAATGATACAATCATAAAAACAGAACAGATTAATGATTGCCAGGGGTTAAGAATGGAGAGCAGAGCATCACAGTGACTGTGGCTATTAAAAGGAAGCACAAGAGATCTTTGTGGTGATGGAACAGCTCTGTATCTTGACTCTGGTGGTGGTTATGAATCTACCACATGTGATAAAACTGCATAGAACCATACAGCCAGATACACACACACCCAGAGATGAGTGCATGTAAAACTGATGAAATCTGAAAAATGTCAATTTTATGGTTGTGATATCGCAGTTAACTTATGCAAGATGTTACCACTAGGGGAAGCTGGGCGAAGAGTACACAGAACCTCTCTGTACTATTTCTTTCAACTGCATGTGAATGTACAATTATTTTAAAATAAAAGATTAAAAAAAAATCAGTCACCTCTTTCTTTCACATACCATCCTCCTGACATTAACTAGGTTAACCTGTTTACGTATCCTTCCATGTCTTTTCCTATGCTTACTTACACTTTCTGTTTTAACGTTGCAAAATGGGATCATACTAAACAACTATTCTACAACTTCCTTTTTTCACAGAACAATATATCATGGACATCTCCCCAGTTAATATACAGAGATCTTCATTTTTTACAGCATTCTTATGTATTATAAAGTGGATAATCTTACCAACATTACAGGGAATAAAAACTTAGAACTTACCCCACCGTCTGTTGTGAAAAGACCAGGGGGTACTTCTCAATTGCCATCGAGCCAGCAGTGGGAGGTGCTGCTTTGTTTAGAATGAGCTTGGCCAAAATGGCCAGAGCTTCATCTTTGACAGCAGCCTCATCAATCAAGAAGCAATTTTCAATATACAAGAGAAAGCTTGGTAGGAAAAGCTAAAAATAAGAAAGGAAATCACATTTATTAACAGATATACATTTCATAACACCTAAGGAAGAGAAGATTCTAACACTTCCACAGAGGGAAAAATAGATCATAAACACAGGATCAGAAATCATAAAGGCATGAGACCTCTTCTCCACAGAGACAATGAAAACTAGAAGACCATGGAGCAATGCCTAAAAAACTGAGGGAAAATGACAAAATCTATAGTTCTACACTTATCTTGCTAGCAATATGAATAAAGACATTTTCCAAGGTACTAAATCTCAAAATTTTACTTCCATTTGTTCTTTCTCTAGCACCTCTGGAAAAAGTGTACCATCAAAATAAGAGAGTAAACTAAAACAAGGGAAAGGTGTGGGACCCAGGAAATAGGAGAAAAGCAAAAGGAAGTCCTATTACGACATTTGTGCCATGGGCTGAGAAAGCAACTCATTTAGACTTGCACTGCTCTAGGAGAGGAAAGAAAAAAAAAAAATTTGAGCTGCTAAATTTTCTAACATGTGAAAGGCTGTTGGCAGACAGACTCACTGACCAGGTATTCAAGGAAAATAATTTCCAATTTTTAAAGAATGAGGCAATCTATAACTTCAGGAAAAATGAAAAGGTATATGAAAAAGGAAACGTAAATACAAAATACTCGTTTAGAAGGATCAATTATATGGTGAACAGGAATCCAACCAAAATTTATGATGTAACTCCAGTGAGAAGATGAGAGGTAAAAAAGAACCAGAACCCATCCACCATAGGAGGAAATCTACAGAAGAGTACTAAAACTAACGAATCAAGGAAAAGCAGTGTATTTGAATGATTAGAAAATATAAAGTAACAGAAAAAAATAGATAAAATCCAAGAGATGTGGTTGTTCTCGGCGAGGAAGATGGGAGTGGAAATCAAGTGGCTAACTTTTAGTCCTGCTTGACTTTTAAAACTACATACAAAGAGTACTCTGATAAAAATAAGATGTTTATAAAAAGACCAAAGGTTAACAGGGGAGAAGGAAAAGATGCAGTTGCTAAGAAAACCAGAGCAAGGTAAAGGGCTCTCATTAGACAGGAAGGAAAAGGGCTAGGATATGAATGAAGAAGGTTTTTCTCGAAGTAAATGAGAATATATTAATGACTAAAGGGGAAATCAGAGAACAGACACAGAGACAGGCTTCCATGAAGTATGCTATGGGAGATCAGTTACAAGGAGTGGCAAATGTTGGACGGAAGGGAGGGGATAGGGATAAAATAAACGCAGGATTTAAAGGGAAAGAATTCTACCTTATTACATCAGGTATTTACTTAGTAGCAATGAAGTGCATTACTAACCATCCTGCAATCCAAATGTTTCAGAAACTATTTTCTACGCTTCCAACTCACATAAAAGTTCCTTAAAGTCTTTTTTCAATTTTACTACATGGTTCTATAACTTCCTAAAGGATTATTTAAAAACTAGTTGATTATCTAATGTCATTTCAATGCCCTAGCATATGGAATAAAGTTTTACTTGTAAACTAAAACTGAAATGTAATTCCTTTAAAAACCATGGACTAAAACATCAAATACTTATTCTATTCCTCTCAAAGAAAAATCATAGGATTTTAAGTTTGATTATTTTATCTTGACAGATTGATAACAAAAAAATCCAAAACTTTAATTGCTCACCTGCTCAAACTGCTTCATAACAAACATAACTTCAGAAAAATCCAAAATTAAACGTCTTTCAAATCTGCTCTCAAAAATCTGTGGACCACAGGTAAAAAACATTAAGTATACAGAGAGTACTTTGTCCATTCCTGAAAATAAAAAACATCTTAAGCCTTCAAAGTTCTCTAACTTGTAAGCAGGAGGTGGTGGGACGCTTGATACAAGTTAATAGAGGCAAAAATAACGACTGCTGAATTGACCACTGTGCAGAGGGACACATCCAGGTCTGAGACACTGGCACTGAACCCTTCTCCCTGGGAAAGTAGCTGGAGTAAAGGAGTGGCAGGCACACTTCAACCAGTTTTCTGTAAAATGCTTGCCCTTCAGCTGAAAGAACTTACTTACAAATGTTAGGGGCACTGGGTTTCTAGTGCTGATGCAGGGCTCTGCCTAAGAGCTGCCCAGTTCTTTCCCAGAGACAGAATTATGAAAGGGAAAGCAGCACTATTTTATACCTTTTCCCATACTATATACTGCTGCACTGCATGCGTCTAGGAGGAACCTAATTGGTCTTTTATTTTCAATCCCACTTCCCTACAAGCCATCTTCTAAACTTATTAAAATGCAAATCTATCAAATCATTACCCTGCTTAAAATTTCTCCAGGGCTTTTCACTACTTGCAGGATAAAACCTAAACTAACTTCGCAAAGCCAAACAGAGCATCGCTGATATACACCAAACCTCCTCATGTGTCCTTGTACCCAGTGGCATTACATTTTTGGACTTTTCTTTTTTTTCCATTTCTGGACTTTTTGATGCATCTTCTGCTGTTCCCTCTCCAGGAATTTTTAACCCCTTCACTGACTGGCAAATGATACTTAAACTTCAAGGACTATCCCAAATATAAGTCCTTTGGAAAGCATTCTCTGTCCCTCAACCCCAGGCAGAATGAATCATTATGTTTCAATATGACATCAATAGATTAATTCAACAGATTATAGTAACTCACTCCCAGGGCCCCACTTCCCTAACAATCAAAAACCACAGGTATCAGAATGTCCACCCTGGAATACCTAGTCCATACCCAGTACATGGTAAGCTATACATGTTTGTTGAATATTTTTCATTTACTTTATCACACTGTTTTGCCTCTTTCTATTATAGCATGCAATTCACATCTCCTTGACAAGATTATAAATTCCCTGAAGGCTGAGCCTTTGCCACACTTCATTTGTATTCCCCAGGAGGCTTACTCAATGCTAAATATCTTATTAACTACTCAATTAATATCTGTTGAAGTAAATTACCTTTTGTATAGTTTCTTTGATAAGAGTCTCTGGCAAGGAAACATTTTCACCCAGGATCAAAGCAGAAATTACAGCCAAGAGGGTCTCCCGGCAAGCTGTAGAAAGACTGGCTATTTGTAATGTTTGAGATAAAACCTGTAAAATAAAAGAAAAAACAATGCACACTTAGCAATAGCTTTTAATGAACAGACTCTAAGCAAATGAAGCTGGGAACTCACCTTACAAACATCGACAGGTTTGATTATCTTTGATCCGTTCCCATGTTTCACAAGTATCAGATATGTTTCTAACAACCTTTTTATCTGTTCAGAACTTTCCCCACAGTTAGTTGTGGTTACTTTTGTATGTAGATCTAAGAGTGATTCCTGCCAATGGGGAATTTAACAGAAAGAATAACTATAAAATATCAAACTCATCTGTTAATCCAATAATGAAAAGTATTGGGTGAAGCAATTCAAATTTTCACACTTTTATTTTGAAAGAAAGACACATTTACCAGGAATCACTAAGGATAATAACAGCTAATATTTTTGAGTGCACGTTTATACAGTGCTTTATAAGTATTTACTCACGATCCTCATAGCAACCATGAGGTAGAGAATATTACTGTCTCATAGTCCCACCACATAAAAAAAAACAGGGAACAGAGATTTAAGTAACTTTCCCAAGTCAGTGACAAAGCCAAGATTTGAAGAGAGGCAGTCTGGCTCCAAAAGCTGTACTCTTATCCACAATGGTCTACTACATCTCAAAATATCAAAAAAGTACAGGGGATAGAGAGGGGGAAGAAAGGGAAGGGAAATCCTAATTATGTGTGTAAAAGTATAAAGACAACAATTATAAAATACAGTCTCCAGCGGTGGTCTGCTAAACTAAGAGCAAGAACAATCAACTCTTGGGCTCCTTATTACACACAAATCCATAAAAATTAGAACTCACTTGCAAACATTCAAAAAATGTACCAAAATGTTCCTTGCAGATGTAGGACGCAGTGGATTTGACCATGTTTTTGAGTGTTTCTCCAACTAAAATCCATGGTAGTTGAGTTTCTGTTTCAGTAACTGGTCCTAGTTTTTGTAAAATTAGCTTCACTGCCTGTGGGAATCCAATAATCATTAAAATGGACATGTACACTCTTATTTTTAAGTATTACACTGTTATTTCCCACTGATTATTCCCCACTCTGATTAAGCTGTATTAAAATCTGATCTGGAATAATCAAAGATATGGCAGCTTTGATGGTTAAGTTTAACTACATGTCTCAAAAGGAATTTCCCCAAACTAGGATGGAGAATTTTACCATCCAACTGCTCACTCCTCGCTCATTAATCAATTTATGTTACCTTCTAGGATCCAGGATAAAGAAAATAGCAATGATTTTATAAGTAAACATACCTAATCACCTAGAGCCTAGGTAAGCATTGTTATTAAAGCCCTAATGCTCCCCCCTTAGTGCTTTTTATTTATTCCAGACTATCCTCTCTCCATACCATTTACATAAATCTTAATTTATTTTTCTTTTAATCTCTTTCACACAGACTCAAAATATCCTCCTGGTCATTTACCTTCCCTGTACAGGAATGAAACATGTTTCTAACTCCTTTGCACATTTCAAAGAGCAACTGTCCAACTCCTTCTACCTTTTCCGGATGTTCATCAAGATCAAGAAACATTATATTGAAAAGTGCATTTTTATCAGAAACCTAAAACACAAAATGCAAATGGAAAATTGTATTTACAACACAACAAATCCAAATGAAGACATGTTATTTACTGTTCCACAGGTTCATAGTTAAATGTAATTAGGATAAAATTCTAAAAGGAAGAGACACTTAGAGTGATTTCAAACTACTATAATAGTATACCACTTCTAATTTCACACACAACACTGATTCAGTGAAATAACATAAAGGTCTGTGCCAAGAAAAACTACACAAGGCAACATTCTATCTTTTAAAGTAAATCATATACTTATGAGTAGAAAAGAAATTAATACCAGTGTTTCTGTTTCATTACAAAAACCCTCTAAAATTTACTATGGAAATACAAGCAACATTATGATATCAGTTTCTTCTGTGAAATTGTCATAAAAGTTTCTATTACTCTCACCATTCATATATTTACTGACTTGAATTAGAGGGCACTTCTGATATACATACACTGAAAGCAACCGAGAACCTAAGTGACAATAAAAGAGTGACTCAAATTATTTCACATTAGTGAGCAAAGACAACCTAATGATGAGATAAATTCAAAATAGTAGAAGGTTTCTTCATATATATACATATATATACACACACATTATAAAAAATATGTTTCTGTTCATCAGATTCTTGAGAATTAATGAACAATAAACATGTAAGATATCAGACTAACCTTTCTCATCAAAAAAGTAAAACTTTCAGCAGCAAAATTTCTTATATGTAGTTTTTTATGAGCCAGGAGTGTACTATACATGCTATAAATGAGAAAACAAGACATGTTTAATCACATTTTAATAAATATACACTCCAAGTCAACTATATGCCCCACACTGTACTAGGTATGCAAGGAATACTTGGCAAGTATAAAGCAAATGGTTTAAATCTTGTTCAATTACCAAGACAGAAGATGAAGGTAACAGAAAAGAAAAATCCTAGGGTTGGTGGTGCAGGTCTTATAGAAAAGACTCCATGATTAGCTGAAACTTGTAGGGATTCCTGAATGATGAGAAGAATTCAGGTGGGTACTGGAGTGCATTTGACTAGAGATAAAAACAAGAGCAAACACAGGGTGGGCAGAAATGATCACAGTCAAAGGACAAGGAAGCTAGTCCATCTGAGAGAAAAAGGGTGTTGGGGTTGGGGATGGCTGCTGCAGATAAAGCTGCCCAGGTAAACAGGTAGCTCTGAACACCAAACAGAGGAATTTAGACTTTAGCTTACATCTGTGTACGCACTCACTGTGTTACTTCCTCTAACCAACACAACCCCATGGAGTATAGGTACTGTTATCCCGGTTCCACAGATAATAAGCCTGAGACAGAAAGGCCAAGCAACCTTCTCAAGGTCATAGACATGTAGCTATAACTAAATAATCACTTGTACAATCACATTGTTTAAACGGGTGACATGGTTTAAGCATGGTCTCCTATTTTTACCATATCCTCCTGATATCTAGCACTTTCTTGCCCACAGCAGGTACTAATAAATATTGGCTGAATGAGAAATGAATATTTCGGAGAGAGTAATTTAGTAACAGTATACAGGATGAAATAAAAGAAGAGCTGGCAGTCCAACTAGAAAGCTGCTCAAGTCATGTGAGCATGGGCAAACAAGGGCATGAAAGAGGCTTATGGTAGAGGGAAATGCTGAAAGATGGACCCAAGAGGCATTTCAAGAGTCCTTGCAGTGGAAGCAAAGACTTTACAGTGCCCACAAGGCCCTTATATGATCTGGACCCTACTAGTACAATGTAGCACCATCTAATTACTCTCCGCTTATACACACTGCCCCACAACCATGGCTCCTTGCTGTTCCTCGCACACGCCAGGCATGCACCTAAGATGTTCTCCTGCTAAACTGTAAACTTTGCACAGAAAGGGATTTTTATCTGTTTTATTTGCAATTGTATCTCAAGTGTCGTACACATAGGCAGGGCTCAATAAACACTCACTGAATTGAGTACCTGAATAACAGAATCAAGAGGATTTGGAGTCCTTGAAGACAACTGGGTCAAAAATGCCTCTAAGACACCAAGCCTCAGCTGATGATAAGAAAAATGGAATCACTGTTGGAAAATGGGCAACCAAACAGGGCCTAGCAGAGAGTACATGTTTACTGAACACATGAATGGATGAAGAGTTACTTTGAGTGGGAATGTATTGACTCTGATTTCAGTAATACTTAAGTGGAAATAGCCAGGCTGTTGAAGATGTCACACTGAGAGCAAATATATTTAGAACTGGAAAGCCCGACTTAGAGGAGATATAAAAGTAACAACAGAGGTCATGATCCCAAATAAGCTATACAGTGGTCCCCCCTCCCTTGTCTGTGGTTTCACTCTCCATGAGCCATGGTCAACTGCAGTCTGGAATCAGATGCTCCTCCTACTGACTACGGTCAGAAGATCGACAGGAGCCCAGCATTACGAGACAACACGTACGTTGTCGCTCCCCTCACTTCATCTCATCATGTAGGCATTTTATCATCTCGCATCATCACGAGAAAAAGCGTGAGTACGGTACAGTAAGGTATTTTTGAAGAGAGATCACATTCACACAACTTTTGTTACTAAAGGTTGTTCTAATACCAGTTATTGCTGTTAATCTCTTACTGTGCATTTATGAATGATACTTTATTACAGGTATGTACGCATAGGAAAAAATATAGCACATATAGAGTTCAATACTATCTATGCTTTCAGATATTTACTGGGGGTCTTGGAACATAAACCCCACACATAAGGGGGGACTACTGTACATTGCCCTAAGATGTTGCTGGTTTTGAATGAAGTAATCTTGGTTTCTAGTACATTTTACCAAGTTTCACAGAGAACTAGTAAAGACTGGAAAAATATTTCTTTCTCATTCTTTGTTCAAAGTAGGGTAGAGGGCAGGGTGTTTCAATGAAGGGTAGGGTGAAGGGGGGTGGTACAAAAACAAAATCGACAGTTCTATCCCACACCCACACCTGTATTTGGGAGGAGGGCATTAATCTTCATATTCCTGTGGCAATTGAAGTATGTAGAAATAATCAGTAAACCAAGGGGAAAATTTGATCAAGTCCCTGACTGAAATTGATTATAAACAATCTTTCTCTTAAACACAAAGGAACTATGGAATTCATCCTTTTTCCCTGTCCACATTTGCTCACAATGTTCCCTGAGTATCTCTTTGGGCTTAATTAATACGTTAGGGGCTGGGTAAATGCAGACATTTAAGACTGGATTCTTGAAGTGTTCACAGGTTTGTAAAACACATCATTACACTGTGAACAAACAATTATAACAGAAGTTGTGTGATGTAAGTGTATAAAATGCCAGAGGGGTTCAGAATAAAAAGCTTTTTGGCTAAGGTGCCCAGAAATACCTGTGGAGGTTATGAAAACCAAGCTTGGCTTTGATGGCCAGAGGCAGGATTTTAGTAGCTGGAGATAAGAGAAGATCAGGTCAATACAGACTAATAGAATAGACTATGGACCACTTTGGCTGGAGAACCAATTTCGTATAATTAGAGACTGAGTTGGAAAGGCAGTGTGGAGTCAGACAGAACCCAAGGAAAAAACAATCAAAAAAACATGTCAAGTTAGGCAGCCATGTCAGCAGGTATACATGATGGGTATTGTACACATTTTAACTAAATACGGGGTGGGAGTGAGAAATCCTGGCTGTCAGTATTGATGAAGACTGCACTTGACCAAAAAACAAAAACTTGAAACTTAAACGCTAAAAAATTTCATTACTGAGGAGGACTGTCCTATTTAGAAGCCTCAAGCACAAGCACACAGTTGTTTTCACAGAGGCAATCTTGAATATTTAACACGTGTATATTGCTTTTGCTCTCAAAACTGATGCAAGTGGGCAGCAGGACTGACTGTAGACAGACTTGAGAAATCTTTTGGGGATGATGGAAATGTTCTTAAACTAATTATGGTGATAATTTGCACAACTTTATAAATTTACTAAACAGCACTGAATTGTAAGTAAGGTAAAATAATATTTAAAAACGATAAAACCCCTAAACCAAACCCGTATTAGAGAGAGAAAAGGGTCACCTGTATATATTGGACATGTCCTTCACCATTAGTCTCCACAGGTACTTGTAAAGATAGGACAGTGAGGTGAAAGCCCATTCTAATAACTCTGTGTCCTGAGTCTCCAGGATTGAGGTGATAGTCAGGAAAAATTCCTGAAAATGTGGATAGAAGTCCGTCTGCAGATCTCGTGCCAACTGTACAACCAAACTGGATTAAAAATAAGTAGAAGTAACTGATTGAGACATATATATCAAAAAACAAACACTGCAAATCTATTTCACAAATGACAGCAGATTGCCTGTGATCACAGGATTAATTAAACCTTTCAAATCAAGTCTTAAAAGATATATAACATTTTTCACATTTTAAGAGTTTAGCAAAGAAATCAGGCTGGAGCAAGAAGGTGCATTTCATCACAAGTTATGCTCAGTCATTCCTGTAGTGTGAAAGAATAGGGTTTTCTTAAATGTATAAAACAAAAGCAAAAAAAGGATACCGCAAAGATTCTGCTTTTTGGCAAAGCACTAATGTTCTGATCTAACAGAAAAGGTAAATTCTTGTTTTTAAATTCAAATACCAGATACAAGGCAAATGTAACCATAAAACACAACCTTTATTAGTTTTTTTTTAAAGATAATTTATTTATTTAAGAAAGAGAAAGAGAGCATGGGAGAGAGCGAGCACAAGCAGGGGAGGGACAGGGGAGAGGGAAAAGCAGACACCCCACTGAGCAGGGAGCCCAACACAGGGCTCAATCCCAGGACCCCGGGATCATGACCTGCACCAAAGGCAGTCGCTTAACTGACTGAGACATCCCAGTGCCCTTTAAAACCACCTTTCTCTTTTTTTTAAAAGATTTTATTTATTTATTTGAGAGAGAGAAAGGGAGAGAGCACAAGTGTGGGCAGGAGCAGAGAGAGAAGCAGACTCCTGGCTGAGCAGGGAGCCTGACGTGGGGCTTGATCCCAGGATTCTGAGCTGAAGGCAGAAGCTTAACAGACTGAGCCACCCAGGCGCCCCAAAACACAACCTTTCTTAAAATTCAGGGAAGTGTTATTGAGCTTTCTCTCAACATACTACTTACTCCAAAAGGGGCTGATAGGCAAAACTGTTCTTGATTTGCAGGTGAGTCTTCAGACTCTGAACTATCTCATTTTGATGATAGACCAACTGATTGAAGGACTGGCATTTGTCAATAACTTCTTTGTAAAATTTGCCTGGGTAAAAAAAAAAAGAGAGAGCGAGAATAGGTTCTGCTTTTCTACCATACCACTATTTAGTTGTTTTGAACACATAAAGTGCAAATGATGGGAGAATAAAATAGGAACAAAATGGAATATACCAAAGTGTTCTGTAAGGTTCAATTCTCTCCATTTCAGCAGACCCTCAAAAAAGTAGGTTTCAACTTCCTGCCAAGATTAAAGCAGTCCATTAATTAGGCAATTCAAAAACTATGATCAAAGTAAATAATAATGATATACCTTGAGACAATGATAAGAGTCAAGAGTTTAAAAACATTTCTTTTAAAGGGCATTAACTAACACACTTAAAAAGCAATCAGCTGTACAATATAGGCACATGATTTACAAAAACAATATTTTATTGATTTGGTTGCAGCAAATAATTCTCTAAAACCTATGTAATAGTCACACTAAGGAGAAAACTTTTTTTCTGTTTTCTACAATTTTAGGCCCAGGAAAAAAATGTGCTGACTTTTAACAGTTCTTTCATTTTGCTTTTAGAAATATGAATTATAACCTTGTGGGGAAGTACTCTGGCAATTATTAAGATTAAAAAAAAAAAAGCCAGGTATGTTCTCTGACCCATCAATTCCCATTTTAGAGATATTTCTTATAAAACTTACAAACATACCAGTATAGAGATGTTTATTCAGCTCTACTGTAGTGGGGGAAAAACATCAAACACCCTAAATATCCAACAATAGGAAAATGTTTAATGTAACCTATGGCCCACACATACTAAGGTATATTACATGGCTATTAAAAATAGTTACATCTATATTGAATTAGAAGGATGTTGATGATAAACCCCCACAGTGATAAAAGCAAGAAATGTAGTGAAGTACATAGGAGGAACCAATTTTTTATAAGTACACACATTTGCACATATTATATGAGAGAAAAGTACAGGATACATATATACCACATTGTTAATATTAGTTTCTTTGACAATAAGGAATGGGAGGGGTGAGATAACAGGTTTTTCTAAGTTCACCAATATGTTATCATGTTCTTTAGCTTATTATCACAGTATATATTACTTTGTACTTTGGAAAAGTAAAATCAATAAATTATTACTGCGTGTGTGTGTGTGTATATGGAGAGAGAATATAAACTAGTATACACACAAACAGCATGCCAAATCTTCTACAATCTCAAAATATGTCACTTTCCCCTTGCATTGTGATTCACAGCCCCTACCACAAAGGGATGGAGTCTACTTCCTCACTCCTTGAATCTGGCCTCGCTTTCTGACTTCCTTTGACCATAACGTGTAACGGAAATGATCTTGCAACCGGCAAAGTTAGGCTTTAAGAGGCTTTGTAGCTTCTGCTTTCTCTCTCTCGAAAAGAACCTGCCATCATGAAAAGAAGCCTATTGGAGAGTAAGAGACCACGAGGACAACCGAGACTAACATGCCCCAGTCAAATGTGATTGAGACCACTGTGGACCATCCAGCCCAAGATCCTATCCTAGGCTCTCTTCTCTACTAACTCGACATTCTATCTCTTACCCATCTATCTCTCCTGTGGCCCACAAACCATATACTGAATGCTAAATCTGTAATTCCACCTCCAAAGTTACCTGTACTTCTCCAGATCCATCATTTGGATGGCCATAGGTATATCAAATTTAACAAGCCCCAAATGGAACCAACCCTGTGCTTCTCTTCCTATAAATCTATCTTGGTAAGTTACGTTCTCAACCACCCAGTTGTTAGAACCAAAAACCTTAATCCCCTTCCTCCTTTCATAACCAGCAGGTCACAAGACCTATCCATTCTACTTTTTTAGTATCTCTGGAATCCTTTCCTTCTCTCCCTCTTGACTGCTACTTAGATGACTACCATATCCTCACACCTGGTTATCCTGACTCCAATCCTGCTCGTTCTTCCACATTAAAGCCAGAAAGATCTAAAACTTAGACCTGATCAAGTCACTCACTGCCCTACAATCCTTACAATCCTAGAATGACATCCCATAGCTTCAGGATAAAATGCAAACCTAGCTTGACATATGAAGTCCTCTATGCTCCTTGACTATTTCTTCAGCTTTATTTCTCACCTGCTATGTCCCTCCACTACCCCAGTCATCATCAACACACATAAACATCACATATACAATTATAACCACAGTGAGATGTTTTGCAGTTTCTTGAATGTGACATGCATTTTCTAGCCTCTGTTTATACAGGCTTCTCTCTCAGCCTGAACCAGCATTTTCTGTCTTCTTTGCCATGCTAAAACCTATATAAATAACAAGACTCAATTCAGCTTTCATCTTGTCTACATTACCTTTTCAACACCCCACCCTATACCCACAAGGAATTTAGGTTAGGCTCCTTCAGTATGAGTTACCAAAGGCTTATGCGCTTATCCAGATCACCTCAGTCAACACACTACATTCACAAACTGGAGATAAGGCAGCCAAAGAGACAGTGAGCAGAGTCTGACTAGAGCCAAGTGAAGAACTGTAAGAACTGAAGTTGAATCCCTAAGTTAAAGGCATGATATACAGGACCTTAAAAGGCTAACAGAGAAATAATGACTTCATGTAGCAAAACGAGATTTTTAAGTAGAGGTGTGACTGAGTTAGAGCATGTTTAGAACTGGAAAAAATTATGTGGTTTAGCCCCCCTTTTTTTTTATAAAGGAGGAAACTAAGCCCCAGGGAAGTGATGTGCTCAAAGTCTCTTTAAAATTGCAGCTTCAGGCATATGAATCTGCAGCAGAGCTCAGAATGCACATGGGAAAGGGAGAGGCTAGAATCACAGAAGCCACCTAAGTGTCTCGTTAACTGTCTAACACAGCATCACCCAACAGAACTTTCTACAATGATGGAAATGTTCCATATCTGCACTTGTCCAATATTGTAGCAACTAGCCACATACGGCTATTGAGCCCTTCAATTTTTATTTTGCTTTAATTTACATTTAATTTGTTGTGTGTAGCTACTGTATAAGATCACACAGGTCTAATGCATTTCATGTTCATAAAGGAATGGCCTAAAAAACAATTCACTTCTACTAAGAGGAGAGACTAAAAAATCAACTATGAATACTTGAAGACTGGCTAATATAATGTTCTCTTACCTCATCATAGCTTGCAGTTCTATCAATCCGGTGAATAATATCAATATTCACATTCCCCAGTCGTTCAGCAAATGTAAGGAACTGTTGGGGGATATTTAATATACAATCATCATTTAATACTTATCACATCTTGAATCCCTGTTTTGAATGCTGTGTAATAATCACATGCTGACAATTTCCTTGTGAAAACAGAAAGTTTAAAGTTTCAATAAGCTTCCTCCTGTACTATCATTACAAATACCGGTATGCTTTGCTTGCAATTTCAGACTTGTATTTTCAATCAATCATAAAATATATAATTGTGTTTTGTAACTAGAAGTAGACATCACTGATAAATTACAAAAGTGTAAAAACAAACTCAAAGACATAGTCTTAAAGGCCCTGCACTACTTTATGAAAATAATTAAATACTTCCATGAATGTATTTGCAGAAGTTCAGTTGTGTCATTTCAAATAAAATTTCCATGCTAGATTGTGGTGGACCAGGTCAAAGCTGGCGATGTGGCCTCGCCAGATGTGTTAGGTTTCATGACCCGCTACAAGCACAGGGATCTGGTTAAGTCGTTGCAACAATAGTGTTTTAAACACATACAGACAAACGGTTGTACAGTAACAAAGGAATTCTCAGGGAACAAACAAAAAGTGATGTCACAGCCATTAGCTGGAAATCACTCACCTCCTCCCGCCGGCTCGCCCAATTTGATCTTTATGGATGAAAGAGCAGTGGAGAACATCTCCTAAGCAGTTAATCTATGATCATGAATTTCACTCTGGGTTAAGGGAATTCCCAGGCAAGTCAGGCCCCACAAACCACGGGCGAAGTCGGCTATCCAGACGTCTTTCCCCACCTCATGTTTACTACACCCGGAAAATCTCCCTCCTTTGCCAAATAACGGACTCACGCTCGGCCCAGAACACTGCAGCCCCGGGAGTCCCGCTCAGACCTAGTAGCAAGGCTGAGGCAGCAGGGACCCACACCACTGTTCTGGGCCCAAGTTCCTTTGCTCACCCGGTACGTGTTTTCGGTCTTGTGGGAAACGGGCTTTGTCTTCATGGCTGCAGAGAGGCAGGGGGCCGCGAGGACCTAGTTGGGAGGTCGAAGGGATGCAACAGACGGTACGGAGAGAAACTGGCTCACACACTTGTTTGCACTCTCCGATTCCGCGGTGCTCGGACTTCATCACGTGCGGCTTGTGCCCCTGGGCGCCGCCATGTTGAAGACGGGGAGGGGACTGGACGGATCACGAGGGCGGAAGAAGCGACAGAGCAGGCGCAGCCTTCTGGGAACCCGGCGGGTTAGCGGAGAGCCGCTGTAGGCGCGGGCGTGGAGTTCTTTTTCTCATTTCAGGAAAAATTTCTAGGAAAAATGTGTATTTTTATTATAAAAGAAAACATGCCAGTCAGCATTGTCAGCAAACAGTCATTACCCTTCAGCTATGCACCCTGCAAAGCTCTTTATATCAATAATTTCATAGTAAAACTCATTGTGAACGCTACGTGAACATAATTAAGGAGCATGTTTTTAAACCCCTTTGGCATACGAAGAAAGCAGGGATGTGCAGCTGGTAAGTGGCAGTCTAGCAGAAGTCTCCGAGCGTCAAAGTCTGATACTCTTAACCACTACCTGTCCAAATAAAATTGAAAAATAGAAAAGGAATTTTAGGGGAAAAAATCTTATAATTTCATGCGCGGTCAGTTAATATTTCGGTGTTTTTCCTACCACTCTTATGTTGTGAAACATAATTGTACAAACGGTTGTATGTATATTTTTTTCACTTATTCACTCAACAAGTATTTCTTGAGAATCTACTATGGGCCATGCCCTGTTCTGTGAGCTGAACAAGACAGACAATAATAATATTAATATAATTCTGTTCGGAAGTATTTAGTGTGATGCTTACATCTTACACAAGGAGAGATGTTAAGTAGACAACTGAATACATTCCTGCCCAGAGCACAGTGTAGAGGTCAGGGCTGGAGGTGTGACTTAAATGCCTTAAATACTCTTCACTGCTGAGCCATGTTGGGTATTTAAAGCCATGGAACTGGTTGAGATCATTTAGGGAGAGAGTGATGAAAAGGAGGATGAAGAAGAGAAGACCCAGTTAGACCTTGGAGTGCTCCAACATTTAGCAGTGGACTGGAAGGAGAATGGGATAGAGAGCCAGTGAGGTAGATACAGACTAGTCTTGGCATGGAAGAAGAACCCGTGGTCAACTATACTGGAAGCTGAGGCTAGGAAAGGAGCTGCTGGATCTGACAAGGTGAAGGTCACTGGTGACCTTGATAAGTACAGTCCAGTGTTGAAGAAAGGAAGCAAAATATGCATGGATTGTGGAGAAAATTGGGTGAAGAAGTGAAGTAGGTATAACACTTTCGTATTATTATGGGCATTATGACATCAGTATTTTCTATGTCATCACGGGGTTGTAAGTATTTTTAATGGCTCCATAGCATTCATGGATTTTTTTAATAATAAAATATAGAAGTGCCCAATAGTTGGCTGGCTTCCAGTAAGCTGTTTTTATTTTCTTTAGGTGGTTCTTCACCTTAATGCATCACAGATCTCTGTGAAAGCTGTAGATCTTCTCCTCAGAAAAGAGCAAATAAAGTCGTTCACACTAAAGTGCATAGATGATTTCAGAAAATTAGAAGTCTGCAGTCATCTGAAGGTAAGAGCCCCCACTCTAAGCAATATTCCCAAACTATTGCTAAAATCACCCCCCAGATAATTGTGTAGTTTCCTTTCTCTGTTATTTATTTTTGGTAATAGAGTTAATGGGACAATAAGGAATGGAGAGAAAAATGAAAATCAAGGACACTAAAAGAACTGACACTTGCAAGTTACGTATTGCATGGTTACCCATTATAGATCCTCATATATAAGCATACCTCACTTCATTGTGCTTCACTTTATTGCCCTTCACAGATACTCTTTTTTAGAGATTGAAGGTTTGTGGCAACTCTGCATCAAACAAGTCTATCGGTGCCATTTTCTCAACAGCATTTGCTCACTTCCTGCCTCTGTGTCACATTTTGGTAATTCTTGCAATTTTTCAAACTGTTTCATTACTATTATATTTGTTAGAATTATCTGTCATCAGAGATTATGACTTGCTGAAAGCTTAGATGATGGTTAGCATCTTTTTTCAGTAAAGTATTTTTTAAGGTTTTTATTTAAATTCCAGTTAGTTAACATACAGTCTAATATTAGTTTCAGGTACACAAAATAGTGATTCAACACTTCCATACAGCACCCTTAATCCCCATCACCTGTTTCACTCATCCCACCACCCACCTCCCCTCTGGTAACCATCAGTTTGTTCTCTATAGTTAAGAGTCTGTTTCTTGGTTGGCCTCTCTCTATTTTTTCCCCTTTGCTCATTTGTTTTGTTTCTTAAATTCCACATATGAGTGAATTCACATGGTATTCGTCTTTCTCTGACTTGTTTCACTTAGCATCATACTCTCTAGTTCCATTCATGTCATTGCAAATGGCAAGATCTTTTTTTCATTCATTTGAATCACTTTATTGCAATATTTGTATTATTGTGATGGTCTGGAAGCGAACCTGCAATATCTCTGAGGTATGCCTGTATTGACAACTCTGGTTGAACAACCTATTTATATAACATGATGGTTAAGAGCATGGATGCTGGAAAAAGATTGCCTGGGTTTATGTCCTAGCTCTGCCATTTATTAGTGGTGTGACCTTGGGGAAGTTACTTACCCTCTCTGAGCATGATTTTCTTAAATGTAAAATGGAGCTAACAAAAGCAACTATTTCATAGGGGGCTGTTGTGCAGAATAAATAAGCTAATGGATGAGTGGCACTTAGGACGGTGTCGGATACCGTGACTGTGCAACCTTTGATTAATTACTTATATGAGACTTAGCTTTCTGATTTATTAAATGGAGATGATAGTAATACCAATCTTTCAAGTTATTGTGTTGGCACATAGCAAATAGAATAAATATTTGCTGAATGGATAAATAAGTAAACATTTATTCTAGCTATGTAACAAGTTCTTTCAGGGCAGAAACCATGTACTTTTTCAACTCTGCATCACCAGCGTATCTCTTAAACTTAAGAATTGTTTAGTGAATGTCTGTTGAAGTAATAAAACATATAATACTTTATTTAACCCGGAAAACCTCAAGCATAATATAACTCCCTCATTGGATGTGGGTTATACCATGTGATTTTTAAGGTCTCTCCCAAAGCTGTTTCTGAGGTTCTATGGAATATCTGAAGCAGCCATGGAAAAGCACCTCTGTTTACTTATGAATATCTCCTTGCCCCCAGCTTTTTTCCTCTGTGCCAAGACCTTGAATACCTCATGCCATCCTCTGTTTTTCCCCACTGTTGTTCTGCCTGATCCATTTATTCCAGTCAGGAAACTTACAGTTCCTTCCTTCCTCCCTTCCTTCCTTCCTTCCTTCTTAAGCTTGATCGTGAATTCTTGGAAGTTTTACCTTTTCATCTTTGTCTCCTTATTGCCTAGCACACAGCAATTTCAAGCCCATGGGACTATATGATTACATGAATTTATGGAAGTGGAGTCCAGAGAAGGCTTCTGGGTACAGGTGACATCTAAGCTGAGACCCAGGAGATGAATAGAAGTTAGCCAGGCAAAGGAGGAACACAGACATGAATGATGTTATCTAGGTAAAGGGAAAAGTATAAAATGAAGGGAACAGTATATGAAAAGGTTCAAAATGGTTGAGTGTAAATTTGGTATTTTTAATTCCTCATTCTAAGCCACACCCTGTCAAAGTAGCACTGGGCATTGGCATCATCCCTGTCATCCTTGGGCTAATGGAAAACATAAGGGACAAGGTGAAACTGAGAGGTGGGGAGAGCCTCAGTTTCCTGATCTATAAAGTGAGGACAACAGTCATACAAGGCTGCTGAAAGATTACCTCAGGTATTATATGTGATGGTCTGGGAGGGGGCGGGTCTGCCTGGTGTCATGGTCTTGTCTAGAAAGGGGCTCAAGGGGTGCAATATGTCAAATCAGAGATGATCTCAACCCAACAAGGGACTAAGGAGGTGAGGTCTCAAATGAACAGAGGCGAGTGAAGTGAAAGAGAAGAAAGAGTGGACCAAGGAGGATCTCTTAGTGACTTGTAAGTAGCAGGGCAAGCTGATCCGGAAGTCATTCTGTTCTTGAGAGAACTATGTACTGTTCACAGTTGTGTGGAAGTCAGGAGGCATCAAGAGCATGAAGGTTAGATCCAGAAGAACAGTTGGGATTTTCCGTGTTTAGTTGATAACTGACTAGTGACTTAACCACCCAGCCTCCATTTCCTTGTCTTTAAAAAAAGCATAGTAGTCCAATCTGCCTTTTTACTTCCTGGTCGGTAAGGAGATCCTTTCTTGTAAAGCAGGTCAAAGTCTCCTATAACCTAACAGAGCTATTTAAACATTAGTTATTATTATTTTAATAGTTATCTTTCTCAGTTATGTGACCACATTTTAGCATGGGAGCACTGAGCTTCTATTCTTTCTCTTGTTTAAAACATAGGCATCAGAGACATCAGACCAGAAATTACAGATTGATGGGTTTCACAAGCCCAGTGTAGCCCAGTAGTATGTTTTGTTTACAATATTCTTTTTTAAAAAATATTTTATTTATTTATTTCAGAGAGAAAGAAAGCACAAGCAGGGGGTGGGAGGGCAGTTGGGCAGAGGGAGAGGGAGAAGCAGACTCTGCTGAGCGGGGAGCTCGATGTGGGGCTCAATCCCAGGACCCTGGGATCATGACCTGAGCCGAAGGCAGACGCTTAACCAACTGAGCCACCCAGGTGCCCCTGTTTACAATATTCTTAAAATATTTTAATTTGTCAAAAACCTAGGGATTTTGGGTGAAATCCAGATTTCCAGCTTCTCTTAAAAAAAAAACCGCGGAACTCACCCACATTCGGAAAAGCAACAGTCGAGGCGCCTGGGTGGCTGTCACTTAAGTGTGTCCAACTCTTGATTTCACCTCAGGTCATGATCTCTGGGTCTGAGATGGAGCCCTGCATTGGGCTCCCCGCTGAGCATGGAGCCTACTTAAGATTCCCTCTCTCCCTCTGCCCCAACCTCCCCCCGCCACACCCAACCTCCCCTCTACACCCTGCCACACTCTGCTCTCTCTCTCTCTCTAAAAAAAAAAAAAAAGGAAAAGCAACAGTCAGCTGGAATTGAATAGTGGCAGCCCCCTTGCCCTGTCCCTA